CGAGCGCGACGCCGGCGCCTCCGTCGGACTGCATCAAGTCCTACAAGTGCGACGTGATGCTGCACAAGTCGTGCGTTGCCAAACGTGACCGCCCGCCTGCGATGTTCCCCACACTGCCGCCCACGGGTGTGTTTGGCGACTGCGGCCGCCACGCATCGACTCCAGTGCCGGCGCATTTGAAGTCCAAGCTCGCGATACATGACATTGTCCTCGTGTTGGAATTCGCAAGTAACGTGTTGTCGATGCAAACGAAGGCGTACAAGAGCAACCAAGTACGTCTGGATAACGCATAGAAATCCTCATTGATGACTTCTCGCCATGATGACGTGTCCTTCGAGCCGAAGCGGCCGACGGCGGGGCCCAGGTGGTCAGCGTACACTTGCTTTCGTGTGGATCGGTGATTTCTGTGCCAGGCCACTGCGTGTTGCGCTTGGACGGGCACTATTCGTTGACTGTACGAATAGTGACATGTGCAGACACTTGTTCAATGCTTGGCTGTGTGTAGTCCGCATGCATGACGAGCCACGCCCATGCGGAATGGAGCATTCGACAGACGATGACGAACGACGCGTTGACTACGGCGGAGGTGGGAGCCAAGAGAGCTGACAGGACGACGTTTGACTAACGTGATGTATGTAGAAAACAGAATGCATCATGGCGTTCCAAGACTTGCCAAACAACTCAAGACGAAATCGGGCCAACGCGGACACGACACGTGGAAATTGTCGCCGCAGCCATTTCACAAACTTGACACGCGCCGTTTAAGAAGTCGAGACGACTCCAGCTCCGACTGTAGGAGGGCTGTAGTTAGCCATCGCATGTGTTAGCACATTGATTGACACTACAGTCTTACGATGAAGCGCTTCCTCGAGTATTCAGTGCTGTATATGTGCAGCAGGCGTTAAAGATGTGTTTTGGTTTACTTGTCCGACGTAAATACACGGGAAGTCGTGCTTCGTTCACAGCACAAGAAACTTAACATGATGCTTCACATCGATTGCTGTTGCGAATTTGCCATTCGCAGAACCCCTGAACCCCTCCCAAGAAGGTATCCAAGTGTTCGATTAGGTTGGATATCCTGGGTGTGATCCTATTCGCTAGTTAGATTATTGGCTGCCCAGCAGCTGTCTGATTAGGTTAGGGTTAAGCCCCAGTGACTACTTGCCACTGGGGGGA